GGGGGGGGGCAGGCACAGGGAGTTTCTGCAAGAGTTTTATATTGAGTTTCTGCAAGAGCGTTTAGAGATGTATGCCTGGAGGATGGGGTAACAATGGTCTGAATATATACGATGTCCTGTGACTTGGGTGAAGAATTGCTTGGTGCGAAAGAGTATTTATGGCTGATACTATCGCATCATAGGAGCCTATTACAATATCTCGCCTTCGGCTCAAGGGTGGTTCACCAGCCTCTGCCAAGAGGCACTCAATACAACTTGTGCGGTAGGCACCTGTACTGATCCGAATACCAGCATTGTGTATGGTATTCAATGAACGGAGGGTCAATGGAGATGCTGACCCATAATACACTCATAATCTAAGATAGGAAGGATGATAATCCTACATAGACGCAAAAGACACACTCTGTCTGCGCCCCATGATCTACCGGTAAGGACACGAAGAAGTTCCATGGACATACACAGCATCCCTTCAGGTTTTGAAAGTGTTGCATGTCAGGCCACGGAAAGTGGCAGATTCAGTGAAGGGAAGTTGATGACCCCTCCCCCCCCAAAATGATCAGGATGATTATGGAGGTGACATATTCTACAAAGTGCAAGAATGGAGCGATAAAACTGGATTTTGAGGTGGAGAACTTGAATCCAGTTTTATCGCTCCATTCTTGCACTTTATTGAGGACAAGCTGTAGCTGCCTCTCAATAACTTGCATAATCTTCGAGGAGCGGAATATACCAAAGACATCAACAGAAAGAATGCCTTCACAGGCTCTTGAATTACTGATGCGATACTATTGATAGCAACGGCAAACAGTGACACCCCGAATTGATCCCTGGAGAACACTGTTTTCTTTGTGACTTGAGGATAACGTGTCACCAAGGCGGAAGCGGAAAGATCTTAATGAAAGAAAATCTTCTAGAAATGAAGGGAGTTGTTTGCTAAGGCCCCAAGAATGCAAGGTGCGAAGAATGCTGTACCTCCAGGTGGTGTCATATGCTTTCTCTATGTCGAAAAAATTGACACCAGGTGGTGTTGTAGCATGAAAGAAGTGTAAATCTGAGTGGCAAGGGAGACTAAATGGTCCATGGTTGACCTGTGCTTCCTGAAATCACACTGAAAAGGTGAAAATAGATTTCTTTGCTTCAGGAGCCAGACCAGACATTTGTTTACTATATGTTCTGCAAGCTTGCACACACAGCTAGTGAGTGAGATTGGGCGGTAACTTGAAGGGATTGTTCTGTCCTTTCCTTCTTTAGGTGTTGGAATAACAATGGCTACACACCAAATCCTTGATATGGAATGTTTATCCCAAATCAAGCTGAAAATGCGGATGAGTACAAAAATGAGCATTTTCCGGTAGGTGTTTAAGCATTTGATTATGTATCTGGCCTGCAGAATATACCAAAGTCATCAACAGAGAGCAATGCAATCCTGGAGAAGAATTTTTTACACAAGTGAGGGCTCAAGACAATTCATCCATGGACAAAAGAGCATTGTAGTCTTCCTCCACGCGACTTGAGATATCTAGTCTGCAGTTCTCCATTCTTCTTTTGATCTTCAGAAAGCTAGGAGAGTAGTGTATGGAGCTGGAGACATGCTCGTAGTGAGAGGCCATTCTTCAACTATATGTTCTGGTGAAGTGAGAAGATTTGCATTTACCAGAAGGCCTGAGAGACAACAAAGGAAGTCTTCCACCAATCTGTCAAACCTTTCACCACACTACTTTAAGGGGAATATGGCAAGAGAGTGATGAAATATAGGTTCTCCGGGATGCAGCCTTACTTTCCCATATGGTCAATGTAGCTCTTGCTCGTGATCTTTTACAATTGATTAGATTTTCCATGGTTGGAAACCTACTAAGCTTTGCCAATGCCTGTTTCCGATCCCGCTCTGGTACTTTTAAATGTTTTTCCTTAGAGGCCACAGCAAGTGTGTTGGAACCCTACAAGGAACATCCCCCAAAATACATAAACAACGTATCCCTAGATACAAAACAGAAATGAGAACGAGTAGTTGGGAAACAAACAGGTCCCTCAATTGCCAGGACACACCTTCCCTCTGACACAGGTTGCCATGCACGGCAAACACATGGGTGGGCATTCTGCATACAAGGGGTGCAATGAAATGGAAGGGGTAGAAGAAAAGAGACAAGATGTTATAAAAGAACGAGAATGAACAATGGGGAAGATCAAGGTGCTTGGAGACAAAAAGGAATACTTGAGAGCTCACCCTGCACCCCCCCCCCCAGGACGTGGATTGTCCCGCCTCAAAGGGTTAAATAATTTATAAATAAATGTAATAAAAATAACTAAAATAAATAATAAAATATTGTCTAATTAACTGGATATTCTCTTTGCCTATAACCTTCTTTTACAATATAAACATTTAGATATTACACAAAATACCCCAAAGATAATTCATTTCTTCCCTAAAAGTGGTTGGAACTGGTTACACAATGTCACTACAAATATTTCTGCTTTGATACTCACTCTTCCTCCTCCTGCTACTTGCAAAGCTCGAGCCATACCAGGATTTTTCAATCTGAGATTCATACACACAAGACCTTTTACAGAAGAATGATTGAAATTGGGTTCAGGATCTCTATACTTAAAAGTCAACTGAGGATTCCTGAAACAAAAAAACAATAGAAATTAATTTTAAGTTCAAATTATTAATGTTGTTGTTTTTAAAGTGGTTTTAGTTTGAAGTAAAAGAGGACTAACCTATCTTCAAAATTTGCTACTTTATCCTTGAGCCTCCTGACAGATTCATGAAGAACTCTACGCTCTTCTTGCAAATTCTCCAATTGCCCTTCCTGAATTCCCAATTTGCTTAACGTGGTCTACACAAAAAATTAACAGAACTTATTACAAATACCACCACTTATTGAGCATAATTAGACAACTATCCATCATTAAAACTCACTTGAAGTGCCTCCACTTCCTTCTGCTTTTTATTGAGGAGCACTTCATCTTTCGAATAATCTTTTTGAGTACGAAGCATTTCTTGCTGCTTCTGTTTGTGTTCAGATTCAAAATGTTTACGCTGCATCACAAATTGCTTCTTTTCTGTTCCTGCTTGAGCAACTTCTTGTTTCGCAGCTACAAAAGCAACAAAATACAATTAATGAAGTCACTTCGTGCAAAGGATTTAGAACACACCACAAATAAAATACAAGAGACACAAATATATGACAATTGTTCACTACACATGAAGGGGACATGATAGGACAGATTAATAAAGACTAGATATTATTACCCAACAATTGTTCCTGCAGAGTAGCATTTTCCCCCTCTTCATTAGCCAGCATTCCCGAGCTAACAGCTTGGTAATGGGTTCTCGCATTAGCTAGTGCTTCTGTGTCTCGTTCAGCTGTTTCTCTCAGCTTCCCAAACACATCACCCATTTCTTCCTGCTCCTTCTTCTTTGAAGCCAGTGCAGTTTCATCCTTAAAGAAACAAAGGAATAAGAAAATGTTTTCAATTTATCAAATTTTATTACTATGTTTGCTCCCAGAGTCTGACAGGCCATCTGACTCCAGAACCAAGTAGATACTATTCACACATTTTCTTCATTATTTACCTCACAACCAACCAAGCTTAACACAGCAGGATGAATTGTCCCTTTAATACAAATTTATAATCACACTGGGACTAAGGTAAAATGACAAAGATGGACACAATTTTATTTAAACATACATTCTTGCATTCTTAGTTGGCCTGCATATGTCAGAATTGGTCAGAACTTACAGTATTTTGAATTTGCAAACATGTTTTAGTACATCTTCACACTAATACATCTTTTAAATAATTGTTTGTGTCTTTACACCTGCCTATTTAATATTTTCAAGTGTCTAACATCAGTTTACTAAACATAAATATTCTATTTACGGAGCACAGATCAACAGCAAATTCAAAATTTGCCAGTCAGCCATCAATCAGCTGTCATTCACCAGAAAGATTAACACTCAAGACCAGATGTTAGACACAATGCCTTACTTCATTGTCAGAGAAATCATAAAATTGTCTCCATATTCGCTCATATTATGATATTAATGTTTTGTACAGAAAATATAATTTATCAATTTTCGTGATTAATGCTCATTTACTTCAACTTCCCAATTCACAGACAGATTTCTATTACACTTGAGCCAGCTCCTCACCATTTTTAGTTCCAGCAATTTGACATGAATTTTTAATTTACTATGTACAGTCGACTATGGTTATAGTGAACTTCAGGGGACTAAGAGTTTTGGTTCACTACATCCAACGATGTCAAAATTAAATAGAATTTCTCCATGATTTATTTCATTAGCACAGAACTACAGCAAAATACATTAACAGCACAAACTGAAAATTTCAATTTTTTTACTTGTCCTTAAAAGCTCAATTATTTTCAATTGTTGGTTCATACATTTTTCTAAATGCTTCTTCAGAGTTCCTACACTCTCCATATTTTATTGTGCATTGCCCACTGCTTTTAAGTATCATAATACAGTCATGGCACCTTTCAATGCCTTTTAAACTATTAGAACACTGTCACATTCTCCAAAGGCCCTTTTACTGCCTAATAACAGATAGATCCTTTCGATAGCAGCATGGTGCAAGCAGCTAATGAACTCCATTGCTTTTCCACACAGCGCAGGGTGTGTTGCCAGGCTCTGGGGCTGTGCCAATAGAGCGCTTCCTGTCACCTATGTAGAATACAACATGCCATGTCCTGAAGAACAAGCTTGAAATTGAAGCAAGCAATAGCGTGCCACCGCTGCCGGTTGCAGCCCACACAAGACATGGCCTTCGTTTCCACAGCACAACATAGTGGTAAACATTTCCCATTTCAGGTCCACCACCTTCACCTCCGGGGAGGCTTCTTCAATTATGAACTTTGGCTGACTATAGCTTTTCAAAGCTGCTTGATGTCACACATTGTATTTCCTATGTTCACAAAAGCCGAGGTTCAAAATGAGGATGATTAAGGTTTAAGAACACTTTAACAACTAAGGTCATTGGCACCCATGTCAAATTATTTAAGAGCAATATGCACTGTAACTGTGCCAGACTAAAACATTTTTTAATGCAAGGTAAAATGCGAGTCAAACTAAAAATAAACATGTTCAATTATTTTTAAAAAAAGGATTTTGGCAGAAAAGAGCCAGATAAACACTTCAAAATTGCGATTGCGGGCACAATAAGAAAGGGGGCGGACAACTAAGAAAACACATCTTTAAGTTCTATTTGTGACACGACTTGGCCAGGAGGAACATATATATTGCACACCATGAGAGAAAAGAATGGCAGGTGTTTCTGAACACATAGTTTGAAAGTCGGTTCATTGTTCCTCAGAGAACAGGGAGTCATGGATAAATACCGTGACACCACCGTTAGCACAGAGTCCATCATCTTCATCAAACCAATATATGTTAAACTAACGAAGATAGAGGGGATGATGGGAAAGAAGATGAGATTCCTGAAGGCAGTCTATAGACGAAATAATTATATCAGTCGTCATTGCCAACAATATTCTTTATTACAATAATAGCTTTCGATGGCTTAGCCATCATCAGTTTTCTGCTGTACGGTAGCCACAAAAACCACTACTAGTCGTTTTTGTGGCTTCCATAATAAACAATATTGCTGGCAATGAAGACTCTCAATTATTTCATTGTAAATGCCAATGTAAACCCACCACAATACCAATAGTCTATAGATGGTCTATGGTGAGAAATCAATCTAAAATCTTCTGAATGGGCACGAATCCCACGAGAAAACAATTATAGGCAATTACTTCTTAGGCTTTTTTTGCCACAGGCGACAAAGATATCTACATGGACTGGAGGATCTCGGAAGTAGGAGGACGGGACTTTGGTAAAGTACTTTTTCTCAGAAGTTGTTGACTATCTGACAAATCTATTTCCTTAGGGGACAGAGTGGATGTGATCTGTGTGTTGGAGTTTTGGGGTTGGTTTTTTAAACTTTGTTGGTATTATTACCTTTCCACCTTGGATGCATGCGTAACATTAGGGAAATCTACAGGTGACACCTGACAACTGAAGCATGCCATTAGAGCAGGAGCATGTTGTGTTTGACAACTTGCTGCTACACCTGAGGACTTGATATATAAGTATAGGAGAAGGATCATGACAAGTCTACTGGATTTCTAGCCTGGTGCTCTCATTTGCCCTCAGGGAGGGAAAACTTTTAGGTGACTCCTATCTTCTGACTCTCTCACGGAGAAAGATAGTGCACAGGTTGAAGTTGGCTGGGTGGTGACCTTCACAATTGACACAGTGCGATGGTGTAGTGCAGGGATGTGGATCGTGCACTAATGCACTGCACTTTCTGCACTCAGGGCTTACCGACATACATCGTTGCAGGGTATGCCCAAACCTTTGACACTTAAAACACGCAAAGGATTTGGTATATGCTGTCACACTTGGAGGTTGTAGAAACCATAACTGATCATTTCCGATAGGGACGAACGGTTTACAAGTATACAAGAATAAATACTTAGACAAAAAACTACCTTTTCTCTAGTCTGAAGCAACTATAAACATCTTAGTTTTTATTTTTTTAACTAAAACTTCTTTTTTTTTTCCGTGCCTGCTCCCATGTTCTAAGATAGTTAAACAGTTCTTGTAAATCCTGGTCCAACCTGTTCTCTTTCATTTCCATCTACTCTGTGACTCAACTATTGCTCATCATTTCCTCATTTGTCCCCTACCCATTCCCCAAAACCATTTGTACCCAGAGAAATATTGCAGTAACTTCAAGAGTTCCCCAAGGACTTACATCTCACTCCTCTGCTTTTTTTTTTTATTTGAAAATGAAATGAAGTATTATATTGCATTACTTGTCCATTTATGCTCTTTTCGGAAGACTTAAAAATATATTTTCACATAAAATATCTTCATGATTGTAAAACTCTACAAGTAAAACTTGATTCACTATCTTTATGGTGTTGTAGTAACAAATTATCATTAAATACAAACAAAAGTAAAATTAAGTATTTCCAGAAAAATAATCCCATTATGTTTAATTAATCTTCGAATGTGTAAGAATTGGAATATACATCTAAATTTTACTATCTTGAGGTTGTCTTCGATTCAAAGTTAAAATTTGATTTTATTCAATATGATTCCACAATCAAATAAATTACTAAGTTTCATTAGAAGAATGGCCACAGATTTTTTTAATATACAAGCTCTTACAATATTATATTTTCCATTAAGTCATCCTTTACTTTTATATGCTTCCCAAACCTAGTCACCCTTCAACAAAACTAACTGTAACAAACTTGAATTTATTCAACACCAATTATTAACTACAAGATTTAGAAATCTGTATTGGCTTCACAAAGAATATCTCAATAATATTCAGATAGGAACTAATTTAAAGCTAATTTAAGCTCAAGACATCAATTTACAAGAAAAGCTAAGGCGAAACTTTTTAATAATTTTGTATGACAACTCAAAAGTATATAAATTATGTACATAAGATGTTATATTTTTCTTATAAGTACAGTTGTATATTAAGTGTTTGCCTGTTTAAACAACAAATATATTCACACATATTACACCCTTGGCATGCTTCTGTTACCATTTAATGTCAATATGCGTTTGGAAATAATGAGTACCAAATATTTAGCCTATTTTAGTACTTATTTTAATTGGTGCCTTTCTCCTAATCTATTTTGAATTTTAGTACCTAACAAATGTTTTTTGATTACCACTTGTGTCAGCACAATGGTACAAAGATATTACGTTTTAAGGACCAAAATAAGAATAAAAAGTGAAATTGCAAAATGGACAAAAACATATGCTGAAAGTCAGTGTGAATAAGAAAGGGCAGACACCTCAAATGCTCAGCACACTATCATAAACAACTCAAACTTAGATTATAAGAGCAAGAAGTAATTAAAATTACACATATGACATAATAATGCTTGGATTAATACAACAGTGGTACAAAACGCACACTTTCACTCTCAATTATTTTGCGAGAACAAATTTGCTCTATTTCGTTCATCTAAATTTTAAATGAAGGCCATTATTTACATCAATCCACCTCACTATTCATATCAGTTGCAATTTCGTATTCTAATTCACTTACATCCTTTAAATTTTTTTCCAACTGTTTAATCTTCTTTGCCTCACTGTTAATTGTATCAATGAGACTTTTTAATTGTGCTCCTGCTCTGGCTTCATTTTTCTCAGCTTCTTTGAGACGAGCTTCCAAATCTCGTAGCTGTGCTCCAGCTGCCTACCAATAAAAATTACATTTCTTTAATAATAAACTGGTATCTCTTTTAAAGACATGTCATATAGCGTTAATATATTAATCAGAAGAGAGAAAAAATTCCAGTATGGTTATTTAATTTTTGGAACTTCCACAATTGAAGTATAAACAAGTTTTTCTGAATTTAGGTCTACACAAATTTGTCATTAGAGATTTTATATTAAGAATTATCTAGTTATTGTTCCTGATAAATTTTGAGGTGTCCATTGTCCATTATTTAAAATATTCAAATTAGCAAGTTTTAAAAAGTAATATATTTTTGATTTGAAGAAGCTATTTCTTGTTTTATTTTCCTAGTTTAATTTCTAATTTAATTAAATCAAAATCATATTTTTTATTAGCACAGTCTAGATTTTCATCTTTTCTCAGTGGTGGTGAGTGAAAACTATAGTGGAACAATTTGGACACATTCTCAAACAAGTTTTCAAGATACATCTATTATACATTACTATTTTATACATCTCTCTAAATCAAGCAAGTTTTATACACATGTCACTTTACATGCAAGCACAATATTGTTTAAGAACTCAGTTTCATACTTCATCCTTCTCCTTTTGCATCTCCTCAACTTGAGCATCTAACTTCTGAACTTCTTCCTCTCCAGCTGTAATTTTCCCTTTGGTGTCTTCAATAAGTTGTTTCACTTTCACAACATCATCTTGGTTGGATTGCACATTATTCTATAAAATCAATGCAAGTAGTTAATTTCAAATACTAATATAATTCCTTCAAGGCACCCCCCCTTCACCCTACAAATAAACCAATCAAACTTACCAAATATTTCCCATACTTCCAGGAAACATACAATTTTGTCAGTTTCTCGAGTTCACGATTAACTCGTTGATATTCTAAATACTGCTTCTGTTCTTCTTTCAACTTTTCAATTTTAGGAGTAATTTCCTCATTTATAACCTGAATAGAAATCACAGATATTCAAAGTAGAAGTTTTATGTATACTATATTTTATAATTATAACTATAACAGGTAATAATATAATGCCAACAATATTAATGTAACTATATGTTCACGTATTACTCTTAATACATTTCAATTAGATTTTGAAAAATTTAACAATACTTCAATACTAAAAATTCTATTTATGTAATTAAGTTGAGAGAGCCTCAATCACAAACATATAAAATGCAAGAATACATGTAGTATCAATGATTTTCAATTTTAATATAAGTTCACAAGAAATTCATTAGCCCTGTAAGAAGCGCAGGTGCACTCAGAGCTACACAGTTAAAATAAGTTTTTAGTTTTAAATAAGTGTATTCTTATGAATAGAGCCAAGAAGTTTGGCAAAATGTCTTTATGTTATTGTTACTATTTCATGACTTAACAATAGGTATCACTTTATTGTACTTCTGGAGTTTTTTAGTAGATTTTTGTTTTGCCTTTTTTATCTATTTTAGTTTTTGATGACTATTTTAGCAATTTTGTCTTATATCTGCCTTTTACGTCTATATTTTGCTGTTTTTCTTCCAATACCAAATTAGATCAAGCTGGATAAAAACCTGCAAGTCTTAACAACATGAAGGCATGTTTTGTCTTTCTGTGAGAACAGAGGCTGTGCTAAAAGTTTAAATAGAAATAGTGAAGGACTTTTGACTTTTTTCACTGATGCCAACACATTCTTTGCTCACGACGAATTCCATCCTAATTTGGAGGACAGCTCTCTGTATGTGCCATACAGTGCTGATACTCAGTTCTGTTGATTGCACAGTGCAAAGAACAAAAAATATAATTCAGTGTTCACCAATGTCATTCAAAGACTAAAAAGGGAGTTCACAATAGAATTTGAGACAGAGAGCATCACATGTAAACAAATTCATAGCCATCATACCAGGTAATCATGTGAAATTAAGATTACAAAGAAACAATTATTTATTTACAAGTAACTTGCCAATGTAAATATTAGAGCTAGAATAAAAATGTGAATCCTATAAAATGTAATTTTTTGCTGTTTTCATGCCTTTTTGCACTCTTACTTCAGCTGGAATAAATGCCCTTTGCCTGCCTGTAAAAATAAAAGGCTTTTTGTCTGCCTATTTTAGGTAAAATAAATGCCTGAACTTCTAGGCCCTTCTTATGAAAAGTGGGATAACCTAGTAAGAGTAAGAGACCTAGTGTAATATTTTATTTCATTTGAAAGATTTAGAATACATTTCTATATTGAATATTTTGTGTTTCTGACCACTTATGTTCATTAGAAGTAAATGTAGATCATGTTATATCCTGGGAGGTGGCAATGTTCTTCCCTGCTGGAAATCAAGATTGACCTAAACTTCTGCTTGAATTTTCCTGCACCCCTCCTTTATCTCCCACTGTGGGGCACTACCTGAGACAAGACAAGCTCTAAGCTTCTGAGTATGTTTAATAGTGTAGGGCATTTAAGTGTCAGCATGTCCATAAGGGGAGAGGAGGAGCCGACTATGAGGAAGGAAAGATCCCACAGACTATTGTCCTTAAGGTACTATTTTGGCATTTGCCTGTTATTGATCGGAGAAACCATGGAGAACCACCAATCCTGACCACAGAATTATCCCTCAGACAGTGGCTGAATTTGACCAAGCTATCTAGCTTGTGACAAAAATCTACCACCACTGGATCTTCAATCCTAGGACTTCCCAGTTGCAGAGGCACTGCTACTTTCAAATGCTGTTCACTAAACAGAAGACTTTTGTTTTTTTAATATCACGAAAAAGTTCCAACAATGCATTAAATCTGCTAGCCAATACTGCCAGCTGCAAATCTGCTGCATATCTCAAATTGAAGTTGTGCAGTGGCCAAACAACAACTATTCTTGCAGCACTCTACACTATCCACATGTGACTATTTTTTCCTGCTGTCTAGAAAAGTGGTTAAAAGCAGCTAATAAAATTTAGTAACAGACTGAAAAAGTAGTAAAACCTTTGATTGAAATCATCTCGGTCAGCAGGTGTTTTACAATTCAAGCGAAAATGTTTAAAGAAATTTAACTTGATGGATCAAGTGATGTGTTGCAATTCGAGTAGAACTGCTGAGTGTAGAAAAAGAATGAGAAAGTGATGAAGTAATTGTGAGAATGAAGGGATGAGTGTAAGAAATATATGAAAAGGGTATTAATCTTCTAAATTATTAAATAATTTTGTGAACTAATCATCTCAGTTTCATTATTTCCTATGGGAAAATTAACTTTGATATACAAGTGTTTCGGATTACAAACTTTTTCTGAAAACAATTAAATATCGCAAACCAAGGTTCTACTAAAGTTGAGAACTCCGGTCATAAAGTGGCATATACTATTATACATAATACCAGCTCATACAAAACATTTTGCACATGAGTAATTCCATGTCAAACCACACAAATGTAAATTTATGGAAAATATGACCTAGATTTTTAATCTTTTTTTCTATGAAGAGTATAAGCCAAAATATAAAAGAAACATGAAAAAAATTAAAAACGTGTCTTTCATGTTTGCTTTTATTCTTCACAGGAAAAAAAAATTAAAAATCTGAAAGATTATTTTTCTCAATGACATTAATTCTTAAAAAGTGTTTGCACATTAATCATTTTTAACTTGTGTTGTAATTGTGACAGAAATGTAAAATTTTACATCAGAGAACAAAAGGTGATCTTTCATTTGATGTATGGATTGAATTCATTTAACTTTTTAAAATTTATTTTTTAACTTATTTTTTATTTTCTTCCATAACCCAACATTTAAAAATTTGAAGAAAATACCACTCTATTTTCTGAAGTGTGCTACACAAGTCTGATAAGTTTCGAAGTGAAACACCAAGAGGATTCTGAACAATGATATTCAATAAAACTATCTACTTGCTGTTTTGCTGCAACATCTGCTAGTGTCACCCCTCAAGCATGTGCCAATAAGCAGTAGATTAGTTCATAATACTTTCACAGAGCAATAGATAGAAACATCCCTTCACTTTTTAATGTGTCTAGAATATATACTTATGACCTTCATTGCCAATTAAATTCAAACTAAAAAGTATCAAATTAATACTTCGCTAAAAATATGAAGATAGTGTTCTTCACATTATTATAGCAGCCCAGTTAAATATCTCCCAGAGTAAATAAAGAGATTCCTGACAGGATTGAAGGCTAGTTTCTATGGACTATTTTTTAGTTGTCATTCAGCACATACACTTAAGACATCTTTGTGGAAGCTTAAACTCACTTATTTCTTCTTTGTCTTTTAACACTGTCAAAATCTTATTTGAGAAGCTGAGTAAGTTTACACTGAAAACGTGAATGGAATTTGTGTCTTGTTTCAGACATCCAGGAAAAAAAATTATTTTTGAATGTTTACATTCAAACAAAACCAATCCATAAATATATTTAAAAATGTCCAATATATTTGCAGCATTAACAGGTTTGTATAATTCTCATTTTCTTGAAAAAACTTAAATTGACTGCTGTGGAAAGGAATTTTGAAACAAACTAAAACTTTTAGGGAGGCCATGGCTCTCCCCCAGATTCACCACTGATCCTAAGAACCATTGATTTAAATCACATGATCAACATCACTCTAAAAACCAAAAACATTAATCCTCAAAATTAAAAAGCAAAGAGCTTCTTGATTCTGCTCAATTAAAAACAAACTTCCAGCTTTCTTCAAAGATTTCAATATTGTCAATAAAATAGAAATAAGTAAGTTGAAAAATCCAATACACACCTCATTAAGCTCTTTCAATTTTGTCTCTTTCTTTTCTATTGTTTTTTGGGCCATTTGTTTCTTGTTTTCATACATCCTGGTCCCTGCTGCTTCTTCAATCATTGAAAGTATCTAATAATAAAAGTGATTCACAATTACTTAATGTACTCAAATAACCAAGACAAAATTCTAAATACAGAATTTTTGTTTATAATAATTGCAGTGAACACTACCTCAGCAGGCTTCATATTAAGAACTTTTGTAATTCGCCCTTGCATAATTAGAAAGTGTGGATTGTTTACATTCAGTTGAACAGAACAGAATAAATCTTGCACTCGTTTGTTCTGAACATTGGTTCCATTGATTAAATACTTATTTTTTCCACCCATAACAACCTACAATCAAAACCAATTGAGAGAATGGAATTTATAGGAGTAACTGACAAGATTTTTGTAATAATAAAAGATTTACAATTTAAATTTCACTCAAAATGATAACTTTTAAAACATTCCAAATTAAATTTAATTAAAATAAGATACCTGGCGGGTAACAGATATTTCATTATACTGTTCGTAGCCAAGAGGACTTGTTTCACGATTACTGTTGTCAAAAACAATAGTAACACTAGCTTTTGTTATGCCTGCCTGACCATTCTTGTACACCAATTCTTGAAGTGATGTTGCTCGTACCTAAAAAAATAATTATAAGAATAAAATTTTATTTTATTCCAGATTAAAAGAAAGTAATTTTTTGAAAGTTTACACATTAAAAACAAAAAAAGGCCAAAAAGCATTAGACATTTTCATGTCATCTAGCAAAACAGAATTTTTCTGATTACTTTTGACAACTTCAATTTTTATGTGTAGTAAATAACCTACTTATGTCTGCTTCTCTGAATCCAAATTTTTAGCATGAGCATTTGTTTTTTGATCACCCAAATTAGCACATTCTCATACTCCTCTGAATAATGTACACAATGAATTCACTAACACATTCAATTTATTAGCATAGCTGAAGATATTTCACTAAACAATACACACAAATACAGAGAAGTTTTTGAGAAACTGATGACCACAGATATAATCATTCTTGGTGGATTATGTTGAAACATATCAGATCTCACGATCCCCATTTTTGCTATAAAAAATTACTTTCTTTCGCTTTGTTATAATCCTACACAGTGACAGGCAGGTCTGCATCTACAACGCCATGACCATAAACCAAGACATCCTTACTTCTAAATGTTGCCCCTTGAGCAAAATCTTAACAGAACTTAACTGATCAAAGGAATTAAAATTGGAAGGTGTCCAATTTCCCCCAAATCAGTAAAGCAAACTCTCTGAACAAAGTGCATCTGAACCTAAAATGTAACGCAAAGACAGTGTCATCAATCTTCTGAGATGTCTCACCTGTGTCAAATTAGTTATTCCTAATACAAAGCATATAGCATCCAAAATGTTCGATTTTCCACTTCCATTTAGACCAGTAATTGCATTGAACTCAGGATCAAAACCCTTTATTTCTTGACGTTTTCCGTAGGACTTGAAACCTTCTAAAGTAATAGTCTTCACATACATCTTGATATCTAATTGTTACAGTTGTACTATTAACTAGACATACATAATCTTTCTCGCTCCTCAAATAAGTGTCATCCCACAACCACAAGTACACGATTACACAGATAAGTTTTACACATTAATTTGGAATGTTTTCCATCAACACAATCATCGCAAGTGGCAAAAGTCGCGGGCCGTGAAAATACGAAACATTTCACACTTGCATCAGCTCAGTATAAAAATTACTATCATAGAGAAATACAGGACCTGGCAGGACCCATCAACACCGAATGCGCGGGAAAACTTTTTACTCGTCCGTCAGTTTCGCGCCGCGCCGCCGATCTCCATCCCGATCACATTATTTATTCCATGCAAAGTTTGCAGAATGGTTTATTCCGTGCTTACAGAGATATCCAGAACGACTTCATTTGGCGGGAAAGTTTGGTTTGGGGTGATAAGCTGTGGTTGTGCATAAGCGTTTCAGAATTAGTAAGTTTTGGTATTTATTATACGGTTACCCATGATGGAAAGACCCATGGTTGCAGAGTTTTTTGTTAGATCAAGAAAAAATACCTGAAGGAGTGATTTTCCCAATTTTAAAGAGTATGATATTCATTGGCGGCTGGTGCCCAAACTAGAGGTTGCACCTCCATCCAATGACGGAAATGTAATTTCAAAATTCAAATACGAATGAGTGAAAACCAGAACAGTCTAAGCGATATTTTATAAATTCTGAGAAATCTGTTTATTTAAGTCAATATTTCAGTAAAGCGATGCTTTATTTCATCACTAAAACCACGACATTTCAAAGAAACTGTTTTTGCTTACCTACAGTTAAAGTAATAATGACTGTTGAATATCAAATATTATAATGCTAGTTATTTGACCGTAACTCTTTATTTTATCAGACTTAGAGAAATATGGTTCTCACCTAAGCAGCGATTGGACAAAAAATAAAGCAAAATATTGGACGGATTTAAAGGACAAACTTCTTATTGTAGTGTATACAATAAAAATATTGTGGCGCATGTGTAATAATGATGAAATATTTATTTATGAATCTATAATTTGAACACTTAAACACCTAAACCATACGTAGGAGTTTTTCCAAATTGAAGAAACCCTTATCCATCCGGTTCACATCGAAGTTTTGAGATTTTGAAAAAAATCTTTAAAATTTGGGGGTACTTTACATGAAGCCCCCAGACATTTTCAATTTTTGTTCCAAAACGGCTCCAATTTTTTTCTTGAAATTTCTTGTAAGAATCGAGTAAAATATAAAGGTGGTATAGGTCCGATTTTCAAGGTTAACTGAATTTTCGAAGATTTCAAATTTTTTCGGGCGGGCATCTTCCTACAACTATAATAAAGTTCTTCATAATAAGCCCTTTCATTATTGTCAAGTACATTTTTTTTAATATTTTAGTATTTTTCGCGAAATTTTGCGAGCAATATGTAAAATTTAAAAAAATACAAAAACAATATTTTCTCAAAAACGGCTCCATATTGTTACTTTAAATTTTTGGTAGGGATAGTGCTGAATGTACATGACATAAACGCCATGTTCATCTACACTTTCGTTTTTTCAAAACTTACAAAAATGTAAGTTTTTTTACTTGTAAGTCACGTCGTTAATATTTATATTAGTGACAATTTCTTTACATTATTTTATTTATGAGTTCATATGCTTTAAATATTGTTAAATGAAGTTTCTCGAAAATAACTGTTTTCTTTGAAACCTGAATCAAATTTCCGCATTTTCAGAAACGCTTAAACGCCATTTTCTCACAACAGCTCCATATTTTTCTTCTATATTTTCGAACGTGTCATATTTGCACTCTTTAATATGACGTAATGTTCATTTCGGGGTATTTTGTGATTTTTAAAACACTACACAAATGTATTTTTTTAATATCTCTCATGGCGTTAATATGCACATTTCCTGCAATTTGTAATCACTATTGTATTTGTGATTTTAAGTGCTTGAAATGACTTCAAATGAAGTTTTGCGAAAACTCAAAAATTTTCTGTGAAAACGAGCTTCAATTTTTGAATTTACAGTAGCGCTTAAGCGCCATTTTCTTTAAAGCGGCTGAAAATTGATTTTTTTTTAATTTTGAAAGAAAATTGCAATTTAGGACGAAGTTTTACTGTTCTTTAGTTTCATAAAATAATATTTTCGCTCTATTATTAGGAAACCGAAAAATTAAGATTTTTTTAAAAATGTACTTGAGCGGCGATAGATGGCAGCTGGCAAGGATATGAGGAAAGTTCGAATAGCTAGCCGAAACCAAAGGAAATAGAAAACTAATATGGGAAAGTGCCATTCTGTGGCACCACTAGTTTATATTTCGAATGTCGAAAAATAGGTGCTTCACAAGAAACTGTTTCGTGGGTTCGCATCATGTGTTTTTCAGCATTACTTACAATCTTTGGAAACGTAGTCGGTAAACGGAAATCTTTTGGCTGTTGTCCACATAAAAAAAATTATCTTCAAAAGAAGAAATTTGTCAACGCTGCAAAAGTACGGATTCAAAAAAATCACTGTGTGACTAATTTTTCTGTGATCCTGCAGTTCTAGTGTGAACATAATTCTATGTTATACTACGATTTTTCCAACTTTGCCCCTGGGAGGTAACAGCTGTTGACAGTTTCCTCCAATCGGTTGGATGAAACCCTCACCAGCTGATACCTGCTGGGAGTTGGAAAATCCGCAATAGAGAGACCAAAAACTGCGCGTTTGCAATTTTTGAAAAAGTGAAAATATACTGACAATGGGTAAAATAGTTTATTATATTATATTTTGTTAGTATGTTCCCATTATAATGTAAGATATATTGAAAATAATGCATGATATTTGATGCCAAGTGTACACTGAGAAAAAAAACGAACCTGTTTTCTACACTGAATAAAATATTCAGTGTTATATACAAAGTTATTAGAGTAATTTCACTTCTCTGTTATTATAAAAGCGAATCTTTTGTTTTAATCATAATGTCGTTTTCATCATCAAAAAAGTTTCGTTGTATATTTGGACAATAGAACCATTTTCATTACAAATGTATAATAAACACTCACATATATGCATAGAACTATTGCAGCCATTTTCAAAGTGTACGTGATTTAAAATTATATATTTTTTTAAATTTTCTTAACTATAGCTCAGCAATTTTAAAAAATCTGAAAAAAGGCACGTTTTGTGTTTTAACAATAACTTTTGAGAGTTTTTCGAGCATGTTCAAGGGTTCTTAAACAGTAATTTTTTTTGTTTTTAAGAAAGAAACTTTGTGTTTGAATTTGGCGCTGAGAAAATATCAAAAAAATGTTTTTCAGATAGCATAAATTATTTTGATATTTTCCACATTTTCTCTATCAGATAAATTAGTGTTAAGTTGACGAAACAATTTCAAAAAGCACGTTTCTGACTGTACAGGGGTGTGGGTGGTGGGACGGAGGCTAAGAAATCTTTTAAAAATATGTTTATGTTAGAATTATATTGTAACTACTCATTTTCCATTTGGTTTAGGGAACATTTTATCATCTTATGCGGGGGGACTCGTCCCCAAATAAAAGATTCGAAATCCCACCTCTGGATGTGTCACATTGTTTGCTGTTTAGTAGCAGGTCAACATTCCTTTTGGCAGTTTTTTGGATTAGTTCTTTCACCTGCTTACTACTCCTAAGATTAATATACTTGAGTGAGCATTATTGATCTTTGTGATTTTGGTAAAGGCCATGGCACCAGAGGCACATCTGTTATTCCCCAGCACACGGTAGTCACTGTGGTTCTTCTTGCAGAGGATGCATTGTAGTTCACCTCTGCAGTCTTTGCGATGTGTCCACTTTTACCACATATACTGTGGGTGTTCCTTCTGTCTTGACCTGAAGACATGGTTAATATTATATGTTCGTAATCAAGACCTTTGAAGCATCTAGTCAATTTGCACTTCTCCTTGATCTGACAGATAACCCACCCTAATTTAATTTTCTCACTGCAGTAGAGATTTAGGGCTAACTGTTCCGTCCACGACACAAAGCCCTCGCGCAAAGGCGGGTGGTCGCTCCCTCCCCCCGGAGGCGGCCGCTCCCGCAGGGTGCGCCCGCCGCACCCACACCGCACCCGCGTCGCCGGGCCCTCCCCCGAACGGCGCCCCTCCTGCTTTCCCTAAGGGCTGTAGCCTTCTGGCTAGCAACGCGACATTCACTTGTGCCAGGACAGAATTGCGAGACCCACCGCAAGAGGCACAGGCCTCACCGCCTGCCCAGGGCCTCGTTGCTGAGCAGTCTACGCTTACAAGCAACTTTCATGTTTTGCGCTTCGCGCACGTAAACCCGCTGCCTTCGGCACGTGTACTTGTAAACCTGCCATCGGTGGGTACTACAGAGCGGTACGCACAGACCCGACTCACACCGGCAGTCACCGGCTGGCGAGAGAGTGTGTGTGCCGCACACACATACTCCTGCAGTCAGGGCCCACCTACGGCCAGGTCCGTGGCCAAGCTGCTGGACAGACTCTCCGACTGTGTGGGACGCCTGCATTCCAGCTTCGCCCGGGAGAGGAGCACCGCTGGTCGACGCATGCCGCAGCCACCCAGCAGCAGGTCTTCGGCAACACCGTGTGCCCATGGACGTGTAGTGCGACAAAGTTCACGACATCACCTTCACGGTGATAAGTAAAATAGAAGTAACGAAGAACATCCATTTTATATCATTCATTCAATTTCATTTCTGTTAATTAATATTTCATTGGTCATATCATCCCATTCACATAGACTAGAAATTAAATATCAATAAAATGTATGTGCAATGAAATTCTTGTAACTTTGTCATCCTCCGCCTCCCCTCTTAACCAGCGCCATCTCTCGCCGGGCACTCAGGGGTGGCGTGTACAATTTATTTGTATAAGAGAGCTTTTCAGTCTGTTCGCGGCCCCCCCGTTCCAGGTATTCTTCCCCCTTCTCTGTACACTAACTCTGCTGGCAGAAAGATTGTTACTATTTGTATTCTGCCGTATCCCCTCCTCAATTGGCATGAATCAATAATCTGTCTTCTGTACATTGTACTCTAAGCGATCTCTTCCACAACTTCTTTGTCTGCTACTGACTCATCCTAATGTTTCTAATTTCAACTAGCTATTTTGGTGTTCGTATGTTCCCCTTGGCTTGACACATACATTCTTTTCTACGGCCTCGTGTAGTAAAGCTATATTGCCACTCTTGCCTAGAATGATAAGCAGCTTCTTCTTTGTACTTCTTTATTTTTGGATGTCAGAGTTGACTTCCCCTTCTTTGTCCGCCACTTTAATAGCCTGAATCAGTGTGCGACTATTCTTCGGCATAGCTGCT